TATATATATATATATATATGCAGGGGGCAACATAGCTGGCAAAGCATCAGAGAAATCATTTTTGGGTGGAGTGGAAAGAGAATATCATTTCCCTCCCCCCTCCAATTAATGAGTGTCACAGAGCGGGGGTCGGGGAGATAGCGGGAGGAAGCAGCCAGGTGTGAAATAGAGAACGCAAAAGAGAGAGAGAGAGAGACAGAGAGAGAGAGAGAGAGAGAGAGAGAGAGAGCAAAGCAGGGTGCTTAGAACAACGGTAATAAACTTCCAGCAAAGCAGTTTGCTTTTTGAGTGGCGAGACAAAAAAAGATGTGAGGATAATGGGATGACGAGCAGAGGCGGTTATAGGGTTGGTGCCGATGCAACAAACCAGAAACGACCGGCAGAGATCAGGAGATCTGGCAATCCACTGATGAGGAAGAAATGTGATTTCAGAGAGGAAAAGTGATAGATTTTGAAGCACGCGCATCAGGGACTGATCTCACAAAGACTCGAATCTTTTGTATTTCGGGTGACGATAAGACACAAACTCATTGAGGGGGATCTGCAATTATCCTCAGCCTCTTCGCGAGCCGCGCTAAAGCTTGAATAATATTCACCTCTCATACACTTGGGCAATTAAAGTGACGTTGACACGTTGAGCTGGGTCAACACTTCAATCAGTGATAATGCTGCCGTTGTGTTGTAACTTGCGACAAGGACCTGGACTTTGTTTGAAAAACATTAAAAAATAAAATGAAATATTCATAAATTCATTTTCCGATCCGCTTTATCCTCACAATGGTCACGGGGCGTGCTAGAGCCTATCCCAGCTGTCTTCGGGCAGTAGGCCGGGGACACCCTGAACCCGTTGCCAGCCAATCGCAGGGCACACAGAGACGAACAACCATCCGCGCTCACACTCACACCTTGGGACAATTTAGAGTGTTCAATCTGCCTGCCATGCATGTTTTTGGAACATGGGAGGAAACCGGAGTACCCGGAGAAAACCCACGCGGGGAACATGCAAAGTCCACATAGGGAGGCCGGAGCTGGAAAGATGAGATATATAGGGTATAAGGATGCACTTTTAATTTTCATGTGCCCTGACACATTGGAAATTGAAAGCATACAGCGCACACCTTTGAAGTTTGAAATGTGCTTTTCTGAACAGGTCGCCAGATGGAGTATCGGGCTTCCATTCTGGCATCTCATTGCGTTTACAGATTGCGGCCGGCACATAGTATCTGATATGAAATAGGATCTATCAGACGCGGTCCACTTTCTGTCTCGCTGACAGCGTGAGACAAGCGAGACTTTTCAAAGGCTCGCTCAAACGGCTTTTATGCGTCAAGAGCACGAGGGCAGCTGAGCGATGGTCATATCACAGAGGATGAGATTTCATCTGTCTGTCTGTGCGCTATCCTTTTTGATGTGAAATGAGAAGCGGAACGCGCTGCCAAACGTCCCTTCATCTCCATGAGGGATAGGTGACACACTATTGAAACCATAAATAGGAGAAAAAGATACCCGGAAAAAAGGGTTATAAGCAGTATAGGGAATGGAGGGATGGTCGTATTCACCGTTTCATCCTTTAAAATTATAGACACACGTTTCATGATGGGAATGTAGCACAATACTGGCTTTTGTAGTGGACGGAAACCTTTCCGGGAAGATTCTTTGTTCGAGTTTGACCAGAGGAACAAACATATCCGTAAGATCGACAAACCTCGTTTATATTTTTTTGCTGATAGCGCCTGCACAGATTTACCGGGAATGGATTATCTGAAATGGAGCAGTTGTGAAGAGGCCTGACAAGGACACGGAGTAGATAATAACGAGCGAAATGGTGATCAATACGCAGGCATGGGAGAAAAAAAAAGAGTGGAAAAGGGAGCGAGGGTGGAAGACGCATCAGCTGGGATCGAAAGAAAACATGAGGAGAATTCTGATGACCGCCTCTTCTCACCGGTGTTCACACAATGGAGCTCACGACTTGTGTGTGTGTGTGTGTGTGTGCGTGTGTGTGTGTGTGTGCGCGCGCGCGGGCGAGTCCATTGATTCGCATGTTAGGAGGCAGAAGGCCACCTTTTCTCTTTCTCCTGTTTTGCATGTGTTCTGTTTCTCAACGCTCAAAAGGAACTTGTGTGGTGTAGTTCTGATAATGGCCCACAGGGGGCACTGGTACACCATGCAACCCATTGTCAGCAAGGTGACAGCTTCGAGAGGAAGCCAAATGAAATAAATGTTCGTAAAAAAATTGTCATAAGCTTGTATGATGAATGAGATATTCACACACACACGCACACACACACACGTATATGTATGTACATTTGTGTTGCAATGTCTGCACAACTATTTTCAACTATTTCCATCTACCAGAGGGTTCAAGTTTGTCTAAGCGGAGGCAACGAGAAGCAAAATAAAATCATCATTTTGTTCAGAAAACGTTATTTTTTTTTGAAGCCCAGCTCTGCTTTCAACCGTGATGATAAAAGCTGCCCGTGAATAGGAAATCTTGTAATAGACTGAATGGGAAACCTTTTAGTGAGATTTTTGCTGCAATGATGTCCTGGCTAATTTATGGTGACCAGAGTCCGCAGTCAAAGTGAAATCCAAAATAAAAGCAATAAATCTGGAGGTTGCAAACTCAACACTGCCTGTTTACCAGATTTTTGACAATGGACTTTCTCTGCATGGCCATTTACAAATAAACAAAGCTCAAACTTCTTTGATGCTGAGGTGCAATGTGGATAATGGACTAATGCACAAGACTGCATCCATGCTATTGATCAGCCCATGATTTTAAGTCTTGTTGCACACGTTATCTGTTCGATGAGAGGAAGAGAAGTTGCTGAATTTAACATAAGCAGATATGAAATGCATCTGCAAAGACATCATCACGTTGCCGTGTACTGTTATTATTGATCAGACTGACACCTACGCGTGAGGTACTCCACATCAGTCGTGGAGGTGGTCTGCACCGGTTCTTCGATCCAAGGTGTGGCATGCACGGCGACGCTCCAGTCACTCCATGTTCCAATCTCTGTGTCTTTGGCGGCAACCTGTTGAACACAAACAAAGGATGTGGGGAAAAAAAACTAAACAAAACAAAACATCTATGTGCTACTTGGAAGATGTGTGCGCAATATGAGGGACCAAATCCTTGGAATAAATCAGGGCAGCGAGATAGATCCTTGTTGGAAAAGGCACAACCAGTTTTACATGTGCCTTCTCCGGGTTTCCCATTACTTGTAATCACGTGATGTCGATGTGAAAGTACCTGGATGATGTATTCCTTCCCAGCATAGGCATCGGTGATGGTGTGAGAAGTGCTCTCAGACAGTTCCACCTGAAACAAAATCAAAAGAAAGAAAACACAAAAAGAAGATTACACCGGAGGACTCGAGTAAAATAATCTTTATTTGTAAAAAACAGCAAAAATTAAAAAAAAAAAAAAAGAATTGGAAACACACACACACACACACACACATATATATATATATATATATATATATATATATATATGTATGTTTTTTATTTTTATTTTAACCCCTTACAAACAGTTACAGTTATATGCAGTTTGCATGTACAGGTATCATTGTAAATAAGGATACCTGTACAAACTTTTGGATAAAAATAACAAACATGTCAGCTCTGGTATCTTCATGAAATTATAAACAGTTTTCAATATGTATCTTTTGGGCAAAATTAGTTAAAGTTTGGCTCATTTTTTATATTGCTTTGAATGTATACACTCCAGCTGCAGCTCTTGTCTAACTTTAGCTCCTTATGGTTAGCACGTATGATCATCTTATGCTTTTTCAAGATTCCCCCGTTGTAATCCAACAATGACCAACTGGTGCAAATTTCTACGGAAATCTGTGAGATTTGAGAAAGAGTTCTTGGGACTGTCTTAAACTCCCTCTTGAATAGTGTTATCAAATTCTCAGAAAAAAAAAAAGACGGCTGGCTAGAAGTTTGAAGGCAGTGGATGGGAAGTTGTGACAATATGCGCTTGTCATCTATACGCTAGGTGCTTATTCAAACTCAAGTATTACACACCACGGAAGTAGGGGATTTGCAGTTCCCGTGGCAACAACTGAAATGATTGGATTTATTATAAGCCAGATGCTGGTAATGATTTTAAAGCTGGTCTTTTTAAGCACACATTTTCCATCCTGTTGCTTTTAACTTCCTATTAGTAGGAAGCCGGATGTTTTTTTGAAACGACACAGCGGAGAAGAAATATTGCAGCATCATGAGCTCTGAAATGTATTTGGCAAACGGGAATTTATGAGTACCTGAGTCCACTGGAAGTCAATCTGACAGCTCTTTCCTTCTACCTATAGTGCCAGCCATAAATTATGGGCTCGGCGTTGCAATTGTACCTTTAATGTTTTATGGTGGTGATATTAGCTCAGCCGTGCGGGATCCCCTTTTTATTGAGTGCTTATTTATTCCAAACAGTCCTTTCATTATTATTGTGTGCATGAATCAAGGCGGTTGATTTTGTCGTGTTTTTATATTTGGCTATTGGAATGATTGAACTCCGACGCCCCCAGCGGCAAACAGTTTGGCGTGAAGGCAACACCTCAAGAGCATACATCACAATTAAAGTGGAAAGCTTTGGCGTAGCCACAAGAACACACGCCAGCACCGGAAAGCGTTTCGCACACACTTTTAACGTGCAGAGGGCAGCAGATTGAACCGAAAATGTGCGTCACTTGGAAATGCATGCGGTTTTGATTGGATGCACTGTTGTAATTTACGGTTAGTGCTGCAAATATGTGTTTGTTTGTCTGCCTTTGGCTTGCCTCTTGACACGTTCAAGGAAAAACAGCACTCGGAAAGGTGCTGACTTTTCCTCTCCGGAAGCCAAATTAAGTGATTTAGTGACATTTGCATTCTGCAGTTTTCATCTGAGACAAGAAACATATGTACTGACAGCTGCACAAGTGGATTACGTCAAAAGAGCCATGAAATCCTCCCATCTTTGATTGGACTACATTAGCATGACCTTCACGTGCTGGCTGGACAACATAACAAGATTGCGCAATGTATAACACTGGTCAACGCGTTTTTACGAAATGTTTTAAATTGCAGATGCAAGTGAACTTTTCTTGCTGTTTTTTTTTTCTGCTCATTCCAACTCTACCCTCATTTTTTTTTCTCTCGCGCGCACAACACACACACACACACACACAACAGCAGATCTTTAACCTAGGCTTCCTTGCATTTCAAACACATTTTCCTGCATGCGTCTGGGAGCAAAATGTAGCCAGGCTTGGATGTTGTTCTCTGGAAGATGGCTTTTTTCTTGCCACCCTACCCCCTAGCTCAGATGTTCTGTATGAAGAAGACGGGGGACTGTTGTGGCATGTATTAAGCCAGACCTTGGCGGAAGTTCCTGTAGCTCCTTTTAATGTTACCCTTGCTTCCCTGACCATCTTTTTTATGTTGATGCTGATTTTGTTCACTATGTGCCATGGTACATTTATTGGAAATTATTTTGCACCCATCTGCAGATTGATACGGGTCTCTGTGTTGTAAATTGTGACGAGAAATGTCAGGAAAATCCTACGAGAGCAGGTAAACATTATTTGGTTTTACACAGAGGCACTTTAACTGGTGGTACGTTTGAGCTGATTACCATTTGACATGAGTTTGAAAGTGTTTGGCTAAATCCGAACACAAGCACATATAAGTGAAAAGTTATAGTTATCGAAGTTGTTCATTTTTATTTCCTCTTTTAAAAAGACTTTTTTTTTTCCAATTGAGTTGTACAGGTTCTCGGTCATATTGATGCTGTAAAAGTTTTGAAATGATTCCTCTTTGTCTATTCTTTGATATCACATTTGAACAGAGATAGAAAGACAGCGTGATAGATAAGTAAATTCAAACGCATCCATCAAGAAAGTTGCAGTGCCAAAATCAGTGGAGAAAAAAAAAGAAGAAACACTCAACAGAATAAACAACTTTTGATAGCAATATGGCCATCGCATTCCACTGTTGTTTCATTCCGATGAGCTCATGAGATAAATCTTTAAACAACCACAGCCTCTTAAAACACTTCTTCTGGAAGTTTTCCCTTACAAATAATCTGTTTCTTATCTCATGATGATGCTGACCCCTCTATTTTCAACGTGGCCTTGATCTTCAACAGCGTCTTTCTCCCGCCCACGCTTTGTTTGGAAGAACAAGGCCAGACTTTATCTCACAAACCAAGCGCGATATTTACAAGCTTAATTTATTTAGTGGAATGCACTAACAACATCATTGGAGCATATGCTCCCATCTGTGTACATCTGTGTGTGTGTGCGACTGGATTCCATGACATGCCCTGCGCACACACACTTGAGTGTACTGTATAGTGTGTATTCACACGACATGCAAAGACCATGTGTTTAGCTATCGGAGCTGTTTACATGTCGCCCAAGCAGCGTAACCACAGTGCCTCTTAACATTTTCTACCAAACAGTGCATGTGGATATTTACAGAGAAAGGTCTCTAAAATCAACATGCATACAGAAGTTCAGTCACACATGTTTATATAT